TCTAGACTGAAGCTTCTCAGTGATGTGCAGCCTAGTGTGCAGCACCACGTCTCACAACAAGAAGTGATTTAAACTATTCAGCTGAAATTATAAAACAAGGGGAATTTTAAACAAGTAGTTCAAACCCCAGCTCGTCCTGGATACTGCACAGAACAATATTAACTCTTGATTTAAAGACTAGATGGTTTCAAATACAAATTATAAGAATGAACTTTGGATATAAAAAACCCTAAGATTTGAATGCAAATTGAAAACTTTACCATGGTTCTGTTTGCATTTACATAGCAGGACCTCACCAGCCCACTGCCTGAGCACAAGGTAATGGCCTGGCTCTGTATCTGTGGTTCAGCTGTTTTCTACTACTTTCCTTTACCTTCAGTTAGTTTGCAGTGATCAAGATAGAGCTTCTAGACATAGCCATTCAAGTGTGGTGGCTTGGCCATTAGCTCAGTACCAAAAAGGTGTCACCAGCAAGGACTGCTGCAAACTTCTTACCAGTGGGACTCACAGAAAATTTAAGTTCATTTCTTAAACACCTATTTGCTTTCATACCATCCTTGCCACATAGCTTTGAAGGCTTTTATGCAAAGGCAGGATACATACTGAGGCTATACAGTTGAAAACAGAGCATTGACTCATGTTTCAAGAACACAGAGTAAGGAAAGTTCACACACTTCAGAAAAAAACCCACAACATTTTGCAAATTAAATTAGTGCTTGGGAGAGATGAGATTAGTCAGTGCTCTGGCATCCTCTTTCACAGGGACCTGCAGCAGGGACATGACAGTAGAGCAGTGTTCCTCTGGGGGGGGACTGATGAAATTTCCCACCAAGACACTCCACAGGTTTGGGACATATTGATTACTGAGGCAAATTTAATAAAAAAGGATGTAAGGATATAAAAGAAAGACTCTGTCAGGAAAGTTTGGGTGGGGAAGGTTTGACTGGTTATTTGTGGAGCTCTGTGACAATTCTGAAAATTTCTGTTGGCCTACTGGGAAGCATAACAGTCACAACAAGTAAAAAACCAAGCAGTTTTCTGGGCTGCAGGTACAGGAGAGAGATGGCTGAGGGAGGACTATGGTTTATATAATATTAATCCTCCACAAAGCACAGTGTTAATTAACATGCAATTAAAGTAGAAAGTATCCTTACTTAGATTTTAAAAATCCTAAACCAATAATGTGGCTTAGTCATAAAGTACGAATACTGGGAAAATTGAGCATTTCAGTCCACTTCACCAGTTACTCATAGTATCTGGCAAACTGACTCAGTAAGAGCAGTTTAAGGTAGGGAAGTGCATAAAGGAGAGGGGGTGAAGAGCTGGGCTGGGGCAATTTTGGGAAACCTGTTCCACAGAATCACATCTGCCACTTTATTTCCTGTGAAAGTCTGAGACCTGACTCAATACCACAGTGCAAAATTTCTTAGATATATCTTTTAAAACCCTGCAGACCAGGAAGACATTAGCAGAACAATGAAAAAACTTGGCATCTAAATAACTCTGTATAGTATTTCCAAAACCAAACAGATATTTTCCACTCTTCCACAAAACTCAATATAATATAATATATTACACATTTTTATGCAGAAAGTCTTACATAACCTGTCTCCATTTCAATGAAGCTGTAAATTTGTGGGTTGGATATCTGACATGCAATTTTGATTAAGTAAAGAAGTGGGAATAGCACAGCTGGGCTGGAGTCAGGTGAGTCTGAGAAAAGAGGGAGTCTACAGGCCTCTCTAAAAAGCTCTCATCACAAAGTGAACTTATAACATTGCCTTTATTGTACTGAGCCTACAAGCCTAGAGGATGACAAGCTTGTTTAGGGTGGGAGATGTTGAAGCAGGATGCCTGTGCCTCGGCCTGGCTTAGTGTTTTACAGATTGTAACCACTGTATTCCCACAACAACAGAATCAACATGAGCTCCCTCAGCAGTACATTAGGGTCCAAATTACCAACACAAAAAGGAAATGTTTCTTTTAGCTGAAAAAATTAGTGCAAAAAGCATATGTGACCTGTATGAGAGCTGTGTCACTAATATGCAGTCTTCAGCGAGATGATCCCAGATTGGTTCACCTCTGATCTTGGAGGGCTCAGATTTTGGAAGACCAACAAATCAGCAGATGCTCATCCTTTCTGCAATGCCCCAGTAGAAACCAGATCTTTGTTTCATGGTGCATAAAGGCTGTGAAACCTACGAAGCTCAGAAATCTCAAGGACTACAAAATAAAACCACTCCTGTGCAGTCCTAATACAGGAAATTCCAGTGTGAGGGAATGTAGCCTCTGTCCAACATACCACAACCACCAGAAGAATGTGGCTTCAGAGGAAAAAGCTTTCAACTGGTTCCTAGTGGGCTTACGCATAAGTTGACTTTGTGTTATCGTAATAAGCCCACTGGTCCATTCAGTCATGGCTGTATTTCTGCTGGCCTTGCTGTGAGAGCAGCAGAGCCATGGTGGACAGCCCCATGTGGGCCTGTGAGACCAGGCACATGGGAGACATGAAAAGGGTGATTTTCTTTTCCTGATGAGCTCAGGGGAGGCAGACAGTGCTGTGAAAGTCTCCCCCTCCGAGTGAAATTCATTAAAACTACCCTGAGGCTACTTGCTTCTCTCCCTCCTCATGAAGTCAGTAAAAACCATCAACACCAAATATTAATTTAAGTAAGTAAAAAATATAAATTGAAGCCTAATGGGTATCACTGAGAAATGGTCTTCAGCGTCTCTGGCACCTGGCAAGACTATCAGTTATTACACATGATACTGTCCGTACCTGTCTAATACTAACCTGACAACTGAGACCTAAGATCCCAACCATGGAGACCACATGTGGCTTTCAGAGATAACTCTTCTGGAAATGTTGGGGAAAAAAGGGAAAAGACAAGAATTGACCCCTGAACCTGGCATAGCTCCAATAATGACATCTTAGAGCCTACAACTCTTGTCTTTCCTCTGATAAAAAAGTGGCAACAGAATGCAAAAGATGCAAATTTTGGGTCTGAGATTCCCCGTGACGTGGTCCAAGCACAGTGGCACTGTGCCCGGGGGCATTGCAAGGGTGGTGGCAGAGTGTGCATTAGGGTGTGGGTCACAGTGTCTCCCCTTCCCTTCCCTTCCAGTTTATACCTGCCTCTGAGGCACAGAGCAGGGACAGCATGGACACACCTTGTGCTTTGAATTTTTTACTCACAATAGTCCCTTACAGTTCTGTGCCAACTCAGCTGTAGTAAATCTAGTCTTTTAGGTTTAATCATATGATAAATTTTAGCCAGCTATCACAAAAGCAGAATCTCCCCTACACACTTCTTACATCATGCAGGTGAAAGCTAACAACCCGAGAGCAACTGTTACCAACACATGAAAGCTTGGTTGTTCCAGCTAGATGGAAGGAACCAAACCTGAGACAACTATTTTGTCAACCCTCATTGGGAATCTTGTAAAGCCATCTCCCATCCTGTAACTGCTCTGTGGTTAAATAGTAGCTTCAGTTCTCTGATGTTGCAATCCAGAACCTTTCACAGGCATTAAATTCCCTCTAAATTAATTCTAAGGAAAAAAACCCACCTTTCTGCGCAGAGGTATTTCCATTGCCCAGTTATTTTATATGGATCTGATAACTAGTTTCCTGCTACAGAGATTACATCTTGAATACCTAATGCCAATTTGGAAATTTTTTAGGCAAAACAAAAATAGATCTAAAATACAACACACACAGTTTAGCTAAGTGTGGAACATTAATGCAAGGCATGATTGGAAAAACATCAAATAAATTGGAGGAGGGGAGCAGATTCAACGGGTATCTCTCATGGTTAGTACATACTGTAGCTGGTCATTCAGACATTTCTGGTTCTGAAAGTACATTTCTCTTAGCATAAAAATGTCAGAGTTCAACGATTTAGAAAAACAAGTTAGAGAGAAGGATAGAGTGCAGCCAAAGGATAGCCTTTAACAACCATTTCAAAATGAAATCTAAATATGCTTACATATTAGATAAATGTTGGCTCCCAGGGAAGCTTTACAACACTTTAATTCCATCCTGGACTGGGATATATGGAAATGTTTTGAATTTCCTAAGTCCAGAGCTCTCTGCTAAGCACACCAGCTGATATTTCTATTCATATAATAGAAGCTATTTTTCCCATGAAGTAACTCACTGGGCTCTCTTTGGCAACTTTCTTTTTTTTTTCTTTTGAGCTGCAGTACAATTTTATTAATAGGAATATACAATAATTACTCTTTTCATATTCTCATCAGCTACTGATAACTCAACTGCCCTATTTTTTGCTACATGGATTCAAGGATATACTTTATTTTTAAATGTCAGAGGCTTTTTCCCCCCTCTCATTACTTGAAACTCAGCAAACATAAGGGGTTGCATACAGGTCACACACGTTCAGTTTCATGCCCCACCTCCATAGCAAGTTCTTTGGAAGTTTTTCTTATCCTTCATAGCCAAACCAGCAGTGGCCAGTCCATGGTCTACGGCCCATCACACACACCTCGTGGACACAACACCTGTAAAATAGACAAATTAAGGCCAGCCTCAGCTTTCCCTAGGCTAAGATATTGTAAGATCAGACCCAGTGAGTTGTCTGAATGGTGCAATGACCCAGGGAAAGTGTGGGCAATCATACTGCCTACAACAGATGAGGAAAATGCAACCCTGAAGTCATAGAATCACAGAATATGCCAAGTGGGAAGGGACCCAAAAGGATCATTGAGTCCAACCCTTAGCCCTGAATGGGACCATCCACAAGAGTCGCACCATGTGCCTGAGAGTATCGAAGTCGAAATGGTCAGATCTGGCTGTGATTTGCACACACGTGAGAAAAGCAGACAGGTGCCTGATTCTGAGATATGCTACGCATCTCTCCTAGTATTTTGTCTTTATTCATATACAGGTGAAACGAGTAAAAAAATCCTGTAAATGGCTACATCAGTCAATGGTTCTTAACAAGAAACAATATATCAAGAAATGCCTCTTGACACTGTACCTTCAGACTTGTGCAGGCAGCCCGTTTCTCACTGCTGGCCCCTCTCACGCTGTGGCAGGCTCCAGCTCTCACACAGCAGCTGGCAGTGCCCTGGTTGTCCCAGAGCTCCTTGGAGACCTGGAAACAAAGAAGCACCGGTTCTTTCCCAGGCAGGACTGCTCAGCTGCTGCTTCCATGGATGCCAGCAGCTTAACACACAAATTCATCTTGAGGAAAGTAGAGATGTGGAGTCCTCAGGCTGGTAGGTGCAGCCTGCAGTGACCATGGGCACTGGTGATGACAACCTTTTTACACACACAGACTTAGAGTATTAATTTGCAAGCAACAGGGAGAAACAGGGCTGCCAGTTAACCAGTAATATGTTGAAGAGCTGATGCCATTTGTCATATATCAAAGGTCTTATCAAGGGTGTGCCAGCAAAGCCAATTTCACCTCTCATGGTCTTTAAGGCAGCTATCTGAAGAGTTGCATAAGAGGTTGTTTAATTATTTTACTATAACTTTTCCTTTATATTGCCTTCTTTTTCAGTCTCCATGTTTAAAGTTGAAGGAAATTACATGAAAAAGCAAAAGATAATTAAAGTAGGATTATAGCAAAGAAAGCGGGCACGTTGATTTTAAATGTACTTAAAATTAGGGAGGAACTTGAAGGCTAAAAAAATGTGCCATGGTGCTAAACAATTTTCACAACTTGTCATTGAGTATGATGCCTCTAAGCAACTCCATCACCGAAGGCTGTCCTCTGTCACTGAACCCAATACACTGTACAATGTTTTTGTCTGGTCTAGCTTTCCATGGCTGATGTATTTCAAGACAGGAGGGAGATCTTATTAAAACAGGAGAGATTAGGAACAGCAAGCACACCTGCTCAGCAAACAGATATGAATCTGGAGAGACACCCTCTCCTGACAAAAGCACATCCTACATATATGTGTTAAAATGGGTGAGATGACTATTTTAAAAAGTTGAAAAACCATTTGGCTTCTGCAGACCAAAAACTGATTCCGTGCTGTAACTGCTCATTGGGCAGGGGCACATGCAAACCTTTTAGTACAGCTGCACAAGCACTAGCCCAGGAAGAGTAGCTTTCACAATTTGGCAAGTGGATGTGGAGATAATCATGTGGATGCGGGCCTTGACCTCTCTGCTAAACTAGATAATAGAGCAAAAAAAGAGGAAGATGGCAAAGAGATACTTGATCTCTTTGGGTAATTGTGACTTGCAGTTTGTTATCACACTCAAGTTGAACATCAACAGGTTTTGGGTTTTTTTGTGAATTTTTAAGGAAAATTGATAACATCAGCAGTCAGCTATCTCCTGTTGCCACGCTCTTGGTTCCTAACACAACTAATAATTCAGCCCTGATATACTCCCTATGATCACTTTGGGCCAAGGTCTGGGCTAACAGAAAATGATTGCAAAAGAAGGCAACTGAGAAGAGGTTGTCCTGGGCCATAGCACTAACTTTTTGTACAGCTGAAAACACACACTATCGATATGGTGTTGCCCTCTGTATTCCCCCTGCTGCCAAGGACTGTGACTACACACTGCCAAGGACAGTGACTACTCTGGCCAGGTGGCTTGTTCCCTGGATGCAGGTACCTGCTCACATCAGCCCTTGCATTCTCTCCAGTGTCAGGGAGAGGTTCCTGCACCTTTGAAAGACTGAAGTGGATACCTCATTAGGCCTTGATTATCCTCAAGCAATTGCTTAGATTTCTGCCCTATTACCAATCTGCCTTTTTTAGCAGAGGTCATGGAATGGGCAGTGGCTGTCTTGTCTTCGTTATAATGCATCATTTGAAACTTTTCAATTAAGCTTCAGATCAGGCCACAGTACTGAGACCACTTTAACGAGGGTGAGTAATGACCTTGTGCTGCACGTGATTTCTGGCACACCATCAGTTTTAATTCTTCTTGATCTTACTGTAACCCTTTGATACTTTGGATCAAGGGTTCTCTTGAAATGCTTTAAGCACATTGTAGGACTTTCAGGGACTGTTCTGACATGGTTTCTATCCTACTTGTCTCAATGTAACCAGACTGTCACCTGTAAATTTTCCATATAAATTCAAATTGCCAAAGATTAAAAGGGAGCTGAAAATCTGGCCTGTGTGCAGAACCGGAGAAATCTGGTGTGGGTCCCCAGAGTGAACAAATCTAAGGAGGATTCTGCTACGAGAGCAAGGTAACCCCTTTGATGTGCCATGCCCAAGTACAGCAATGCTATGATTAGAACAGAAAGCTACATTATGCTGGAGTAGTGAATTTAATAAGAGCTACTGAGAGAGAGACTTCCAGAAATTTAGGCTTCCCAGTTAATACCCATCTTTACATTACATATAGGTCAAAATAAAGCTCTGTGGTTTAAAACACAGCATAGACCCTCATCCAGTTAAGCCAGTAATAGAAATAACATTGATATCAGCAGGATAAAGGTCTCACCTTTGAATTAAGGGCTATTTGAACCCAGATCCAAACCCAAGCCTCATAGCTGGAATCAATTTCTAAATAGGCTGTGTGTGGACAAAGAAGATTAGCCTTGGTATTTTCAAGGTGCTTTCCCAAGTCTTGGAGTCTAATGAACCTGGCTTCCTTCTCTTGGGAGAAGGAACAGCATCTAACTACAAAATTAATCTCAGAAAGAATTTTCCAGAAGCCCCTTGACTTCTCCAAGGTTTGTAGGCTCCCAATGGCTGACACAAAACCTCCATGTGCATGAGTCAATGAAACAGATACAGGTTTGTTAATAAAAACCCATATAATGCTTCTCATACAAACTCATGTAAAACTCATATAATGCTTTTAGGTAGGAATGTTTCACAATGTCTGGATGAAAAAATCCTCAAAACACAGAGTCCTTTTCAATAGGAGCAGTTGGTTCCTACTACTGGCATGAGACCAAGCACCAGATGTCCTGAGGGGCCAGACTCAGCATCCACAAGGGATAGAAGCAGCTACAAGCCTCAATCCCAAACCATGTAGTACCACCAACTTACCTATTGAGGAGACAGTGAGAATGGGGCTGCAGCCTATGCCTCGCAGGCAGGTATGTGGGAGCCTGCGCTGTTTGGCCCATGGCCCTGGTCTGTCATAGGGACTGTGCTTGCTGAGCTTGCCAGAGGGGTGTGAATTTTTAGGTAGCTGTTGTCATCTGAAGTCTTCCCTTCAGACATCCCAAAAGCTCCTCTTCTGGCTTACAAGGCACATCCTGGCCTGTTACCCTGGGGCAGGCTGATTTAAGTCTGAGAAAGTCTCACAGGCTGCCTACAAACAGAGCAAAGCAACGAGATGTTTAACAGTTCCCCTCCTACCACAGTTTAGACATTGTCACCCTTAAAAGCAATGGACTGAGCTGCTTAAAAGCAATAACTCCCTGTCCTTTTTTTTTTTTAATTCTTGAAGCTCCTCTTACATGCAGCATGAGGGGTGTTTATCTGCAAGGGTAACAGAGAAATTCATGAGTTTTATTGCAGTTGGATGGTACTACCAGGGAAGTGAAAAAGCTTTCAAACTTGCTATCTATCACTTGATATATGCAGGAGTTGATTTTTATTGATATGCCTCTAGTCACCAGCTGAAATGGTTTGTCTTTCATTATACCCTTTATAGGAGGCCTTTTTCACTGCATTTGCCTGGTGGCTTCTGCAGAGCTGGTAACATTGAACAAAACTCAATTCCCAAACCAAGCTTATTGGATAGAATATACATTTTTTTTTCTCGGTTGTAGCAAGCAGAAAATGCTCTCATCTGACACTTTCTTGGCTGCCAGGAGAGCAGATCAGTGGTACCATCGGTGTCCTACAATAGCATGCACAGAAAAGAGGTGAGGGAACCCAATGGATTTCACTCTAGACAAAATTATCATCACGATGTCAGGACTGACTTCTTTGTTAGCCTAACAGGGTCACACCTATTAGCATGAAAAAAGGCAGGGGTCATTTAGCACAACCCTATTTACTGTGCACTGGAAACACACCTTCCAGCTCCTGCAAGTCTTAACAAAGCTGCAAAGAGCAAATCACAGCAGTGTGCTGTATGCCCGTTTCAGGTCCTCAAGGCAGCAATTATAGAAAACGGTTGTGTTATTGCCACATTTCAAAGTCAGAGTATGGCCACACTAATGTGTGGCTCTAAACCCAGCAGAGTTTGATCTATTAAATGCATAAAGCAGTCTGTGTGTCAGAGGAGTCTGGCCTAAATCAGGGGACAGAAACCACAAACTTCCAAATTCAAAACGCAGATTTCTTTAGCTATTTGACCAACACTTCAGAGCACATCTATACATTTTAAATTTCACAGTCTAATAGGAATACATAGCAATGCTCCTTTCAGAGGTGTTGCACTGATTAATAAGCTTGTCACCGAGGATGGAAATTGCTACATAAGTGTTAAGCACTGTTAACTAACAAAAGAGAATTCCATACATTCTGGTGGAATCAAGAGAACTTCAGCAAAAATTATTAGTTTCATTTGCGTTTGTACTCTGTCTGATGACAGTGATCAAGCTGGAGAAAGTTATTTCAAATGCTAGTTATGCTCCATGCCTGCAGAAAAAATTAAAGCGAAAATTCTGGCTCACAGGATAGAATTGTGCCTGCTGAAAAATCTTTAATTTCTGAAATGTATAGACAGCACAAACAAATATTTCTCTCATCAAATTTGCACACACTTCAGTAATATTTAGCTTAATAATTGTTCAAAGAAGGAGTAGTATTGATGAATTTAAAGTACAGAACAACATTCTGCAGGGAAACTGCTAACGCTTTCCATTTCAGCTGCATGTCCTCATTAAGGACTCAGGCTTCTTGGCAAACTAGTGTACATCTGTTTTAGGCACTTCTAGCTCAGTTTTTCTATGATTCACCTTCAATGCCACATCACCAATGTGAAATACTATGGACCACCTTAGACTTTCCTGGCACAGGAAATGGCACTGATTTTAGATTCTCAGAAGTCAAACTACAGTTTTCCTCAAATAAACCAATCTGATGAATCTCTGTATTTCTAGATTGTATCATCCTTTCTGTGAATAATTCTTGTGACAGAGTTTGGGATTAGAAACTACATCCTCAAACTCACCTATGCCTTTGCCATAAACCCATGGTTTCTCTTGATGAGATTTGTACATAAATACACAAAAACAGTTGAGCAAGACTGGAGTCTTCTGCCTCCAGGACTTCCAGAGAAGAGGCCTGCTGAGTCTGTGAGCTAGCAGACGGGAGGCTGCAAGAGTCCCAAGAACATAGGATAGTTCTCTGATGCTGGCCTGCTCTGTGATGAATCAAATCATTTTACCTCCAGATCTTTTCCTTTTTGTTTCTTCTGGGCGCCAAGGCTGTCTCTGAATTTATGTTGGTGCTGTGCTTCCCAGCACAATGGGGTTTGAATGGCTCTATGTGCTGTTAGAGTATGGCTTTCTCTCTGTTTCCTTTGTTCTAACCAACCATTTAGAGATGGAGAGAGATTTATCTCTCCTTTCATTACATTTCTATGGAAAGAAAAAAGAAAAAAAACCCCTAACAGCATAACTAACTACTTGACTTATTTGTACACGCCCATTATGTTGAGGGATGTGCTGTGCATGTACTGTGCATTGCTGAAAATGCAAGGTAGCTGTGAAACATGATGTTCTTGTGCTTACCAGCCCTTTGCCTTTAAAAGAAGATCTGGAGCCAAAACAGGCAGCTTTAAGAACTCTCCTGACTCAGTTGTAATCAAGATACCATCTACTTAAATAAGCATTTGTACTCCAAGTGATTTTAGGAGATGAATTACTGATCTTATTACCATAGTAAATACCCTTGAGGCAATGCACAGGCCAACAGAATATTGCTTTCTGCTGGTACAGTACCCATTTCCAGGAGAACTCTAGGAGTATTTCTAACCATGTGGTAATAATAAAAGATTTGCTTAGACTATATTTGCCAGAAAGGCCTATTTGCAGAGGGGGCTTTTAAATCTTTGACATTGTTCATGGGAAACAGCTTGTCAGATATGAAAATATTCCTACCAGCTCCTGTATATCAGCCTTACTACCAGGGAAAAGACATTTTCAGGTGGCATAGCTCAGTGCCAAGCAGAGATAGTTTTCAGTTGATGTGATGAGTGGCAGAGCAACATTACCTGGATAGGCAAAAGCAGTTCTTGCCTGCCAGCAGAGGTGCAGCATGCAGTATCCTTTGAGGACAGTCCCCTTTACATGCACAGCTCTGTGTCCAGGCAGGCAGCAGGAGCCAGAGGACAGGGAGTGACAGCGTGTGGGAGGCCTCCAGCTCAAGCACACTCCATTTATTTATCACTAAACCATCATCCTGGTCAACAGGAAGAGTTGATAAAACTGTTGCCTCCAGGGCTCTGTTCTCCTTGGGAATAATGAAAAGGTGAAGCTGGTTAAGGTCAGTGCACAGGAGGCCCTATTGAAGGTGGGAGCAGGTTGGCCATGAATTACTGAGCATCATCTGGTATCACAGATAAGCAGAACGGGTAAAAGACTAGGCAGGCTCTACAATAAGGGATGGATTTAATTAACAATTGCACAGAGGGAGCAGACCGTAGCATTCTGGCACGAGGACATTCTACATCTGACAGTTGCTTAAAGAGACAGGGAGCACCCTATTATAAAAAATATATTACTCCTCGATGTATTTTAAAAATTACACAAGAAACAATAACATATTGTATTACTCCTTCTCTCCAGAGCTGCCTGGTTACACCAGCACTGAGCACTGCAGGCTCTCTGTAGATATTCTGCACTGGGGCCTATTTAAAAACATCAGTCCAAACTTGGTTGCAAAAGTACAACACTGCTGAAGTCAGGGGGTTGTGCAGATGTAACTAAAGGCAGATGTTGATCCATATTAACTAAACTATTAAATACATCAATCTTACCCAACCATCTGACGCCTTGTCCCACTTCCCAATATTTTGTTTCCCAAAAGTTTATTTAAATTCAGCCAGCTGAGAATTCGCAAGCTTCTGGTAACCCCTTTTTTATAATTTCTTGCTTCCCCCTTCCCCCTTTTAAAGTTATTACTTTAATGTTAAGTGAATCTTCTCATTATTTTGAAAGTTCGAGATGATCATCATTGCACAGTTCTAGCTGTTCCACTCTTCAGTTGGTAAAAAACAACAACAACAAAACACCCAAGGAAAGAAGCTGAAACAAACCACAGTTCAATTTTTATTTCTTTTCACATATGTGTTAGCAAAACAATTAATTAATGCACGAGCTCCTTAAGTTGTGTCTGTGTTCAAAGAAATGCAGACAACTGACTTTCATGATCCCAGCCTCAGTCCCAGCAGGTGTTTAACCACATCCCACAGATCAGTGCAGCTCAGCTTCAGTGGATGGACTCTCTACTCAGGGAGCCAAGCATGGGACACACCATTGCTAAAATGAACATACACAGAAAACAGAAAAGTACATTCCTGAACACACCTGCCTGAGTAAATAACCTCTGTCCTTCATTTACCTGAATAAAGCATTGCCCAGTCATTGGAAACAATAAATGAGAGAGGGGAATTATTTACTAATCTATCTACAGGAAAAAGGACTCACAGAGTTCAGAGCTTCCCTGGTAATGCAGGTAATGGTGGTAATGCAACTGATTTCCTATGTTTATTACACCAGCTTTGAGACCATACAATATGACTTATTCTGGACCTTTTCACCAATAACAAGCAAGACCCACCACTGTATCCTTGTCCTTTTCTAAATACTTTTGTTTACTAGAGCCCGTCCTAGGGCTTTAGAAGTAGATGCTTTTTCTGAATCATATTTAAAAATCAGGGCTCTAAACTGTACTCAAAAAAAAAAAAAAAGGCCATAGAAAAGGTGTGACTTGAATGCATAAGAATTTTTTGAATGAATAGAGCCCTTAATATTTAGTTTTGCCTAATGAAGTAAGTCATGAATGTAAAAGGATTACTATTCCCGTAACATTCAATTCACAGACACAAAGTGTAATTCATGGAACATGGCTTTAATTTTTTTTTCATATAAATAATTAATGCTGCATTTAAAGCATGTTCAAATGTCTTATTTCTTAATCAGCTAATTTGACTGAGAAACAAAGATGCCTTTATTTTCATTTTCCTTGACTAGAGTTACTGTAGTAAAAGGTCCCCTCTAGCTTTGGCCTTCACTCTCAAGTTTGCGGCTGCCAATTAGTTTTCTAAAGTTACTATTTTACAAAATGTTTCTCACTTTTTAAAAAATGTAATTGAATGTCTGTACATCACAGACTTTCTTGTGTGCAGACACAGGGTGTTAAACATTCTTTGGGTTGACTTGGGTCAGCTTTAAAAAAATCTCAGACACTGAAACTTGAGAAGCAGTCGTGTGCTAGTGTTTTCTCCACATCCTGTTAAGTATTAAGTGGTTATTTAAAATAGAGTTGTTATACTCAGCAACTGACTTAAAGTGCTTGATATAGTTTACAAGACGATTAATTAAATGAGAGCATAGCATGTGATGCACATGTATTTCCATAATTATTCACATTGGCCTATAGTTGCCCTTTAATTTTCATACTAATTAAAGTAACACATTGAACTGCAAATTGTAAATGGCTGCATTTCTCAGTAGATGTTAACACTGATGTAAGCTGAATGGCGAATAAAAAACCCCAAGAATTAAGCAGAGTGTTTTTGGACTCTGATCCATTCAAGTTTCCCTACTCATTCCATTACTGGACCATGTCCACATTTTAACAAGACTGCATTTTTTCTGTGTTTTCAGCCCCATATTTTTCTGGGTGTGTATTTTTTTGTGTTGTGGTGTCCGGTTAGTTGGTTTTCATCTGATACAATAGAGCAGTTATCCAGGGTTCACAGTTACAGATTAGGTTTTTTAAGTGATGGTGGGACTGAGGTTTGTAATCTGATGGGCAGAAAGAAAGAAAAATTATTTCACCAGTAGTTTTACCTCTTAATTACATCTGACCTATTATCCTCCTTGATTCTTGTTCAAATCTTGACACGGCTGACTTGGAACCTGAAATGCAAACCAGAGGGCTGCATTTTAAGGTTGCATCAAGGAAGGGGGAAGTTACTCCCTAGAACATTTACTGGGATTCGGAAGAGAGAAGAAACAGATAGGAACAATTATCCCATGGCTCACATGGCTGCTGGCATTTCAACTTGACACGTGCCCTGATGGGGACCACTGCATCCACCTCAAGCAGTCTCTAGCATGTAATGGACATATGGTAATTGCTATTGAATGAGAAGTAACCTTGGACTATAGGCATATGAAAGACACCTTTAAAAAAAAATCCCTGACAAAAAAACCCTCTGTCAGGGCCAACAGCTCAAAAATTAACAACTAATCACTCCTTTCAATATGTCCTCCATCTAATTGCTTCCATGATGAGGTTGGGGTTTTTTTTTCCTTTCAGAAATGAGCATTATAAAAGATTTCTTTTTAATTTAAAATGAAAAATTCCTCCACTCCCAGGTGACCTATCCAAGAGAAATAATAATAAGCACTCGATTGCTCAGAGAACATCAGTTCTCACACATATTACAAGGCTGAGTGTTCATGCTCCCTTACACCCCCCACCCTGCTCCCTTTCTGTGGCGTGTCCTATCTCCAGATCCTAACTTGGCTTGGCCCAAGATCTTATTTGTTAAAATTAACTTTCAGTTCAGGCTGGAGTCAATGCACTTGGCAAGGAGGAGAGGAACCAAAACTGCAAGGAAGGGAACAGCTTCGAGAGGCAAAGAGGAAAGCTGTAGCCCAAGCAGAGGTTTTTGTGGAGTGAAATGGGCCACAGCAGCACTGCAGCAGGACACAGCAGCAGAGCCAGGTTTGCTCCCAGTTTTGTCACAGCTGTCTTGAGCACTGTGCTGTCCCCAAGTCCCTTGTTGTGGGCCATACAAAGACTTCCCCTACAACTGCCCCCAGCCTGCCTGGGCTGCAGCCCGTCAGAGCTGAGCTCCTGCTCCTGCCTTGGTGGGGGCACCACAATGTGACTGTTCCCACAATATGCTTTATTTCAGCAAAAGTCTTCTGAAGTTCAGCCGTGGCAATGCTGAACAGCCATATATTGCAAAATGAATGGAGTCACGCTGAGGGAAGACTGATAGACTATGGTAATAATGCAAGACCTTTTTTTCCCCTCATAAACCAAATTTCCCATACTTTTCTGGAAGATTAATTTAGATTTAGGGAGGTTTCAACTGAGGTACTGGAAAAAAGATTCTGAATGCAAGGTTGGTTTCTATCTGACCTTAACTACTAACTACCACTGCTCCAGTACATTTATATATAAAATCTACAGGCACTTCAGCTTAATTACCTAAGGATTCTATAAAAAAAATGCCTTTAAAATATTTTAATTGCAAATCTAGGCTTTCTGAGAGCTACACAACAGTGGTATCATCCATTGACTAATTAACTGTGTATTTGAGGAAAAAAATAAAATAACTCTCAGCTACATGGACATAGTTCTGCTTGTCTTAAGTAGATGATGCATGTAAATGTGCATATCCAGAATTAAGTAGTAATTTGAGTTTGTTGGATTTTGTTTTCCCTTTGAGACTGGTTGCTGAAAATGCAACACTAGATCTATTTTCAAGTTTACTCTCAAACTCTATTGTAAGAAAGAAGGGATTATAAAGGGGAAAAAAAAATCCTAGAAGAAGAAGCTCTTGAAGCTTTCTGATTCCTATGACACAAAAGGACTGCTATGTTTCCAGGTGGGAGGTTCAGTTGACTCTTCCATTTGCACACAAATCCCCCCCCCCCCCCTCAATCCCCTAACTTTCATTTGCACTCACCTCCTAAATACAGAGTGGACTCTCTCTTCCTCTGTTTCATCCTGCAGATTGCCTCAGATGGGACATGGCTGGAGAGGCACAGTCGGGTGATGTCAGTTGCTGGCAGGGCAGTTTGCTTTGCAGAGTGCTCAGCTAACACCACAGCCCCAGTGGGACCACAGAGCAAGGATGAATAAAAGCAGAGCTGCTTCAGCTGACCAGGGTGCTGGCCATCCAGGAAGGGTGCTTACATGAAAGCCAAGGACCTGAGAAGTCTTTCATCTTTCCAAAATCAAACCCTTTTTACATAGAGTCATGACAGCTGGTTATGATGAGCAAATTAAAACTAATTTAAAAGTTACTCTTGGGCACAATTGTCAGGCTTTCATTCAGGAAACTCTCTAAACAAGCACTTAAATTTAAGCAGGTGCCTAAATCCCACTGAACACAGTAGGATTTATACACCTGCTTTAGTGCTTTCCTGGGCAGTGATGGCCCTCAGCAAGTGGTATGTCACATCCCAGGAGTTACAAAGTCCAGGTGTCTTATTTTCATCCAGGCTTAATTGCCAGTGCCCAGCCAGCACTGGAATCACACCACCCCTAACCAGATTTTTATTTTAGTGCATATCCTGTTGTACTGCAAACCTGACGCAGCCCCGCAGGCAGCTCTCCTGCTAACGAGCTGCAGCACAGAAAACTGAGCATGAGAACCATCTAAGAAGGTTCACACTCACAAACTGCCACTATGGATAGCAATGCTGTTCTCTCAAGCCATGAATAGCACATTGAGCCATTCCTTGAAGTTGCAGCTGGGGCTTTTTTCCCCTTATTCTTCTGAAGACCGTCACTGTGGTCCTGGCACAGCAGGGACAGCACCGGGAGCCCCAGTGCCAGAAGTCCTCTCCTACCGCAGAAGCAGAGTGTGGTAATCTCCCTTTTACAAGATACAGATGAGCCTGCTCAGTGGCAAAATTAGCATGCTGGGAGCAGCTCTTCTCACCCTAGAGTGGTAAACTGCAGAGCTGGTAGGAGGAGAAGGGAAAGGAAAACAGGAGGTTGGCAATATGACGAGTAGGGTGAACCTAGGCAAGACACAAAATTGAAAAGTAGCAAGCATTTTCAATGAAAACCCTCCATGTTTCATAAACTTTGAGTCATTCTTGTTACTTAATTGAAAAGCAAACTCAGAATTTTCATTTCTCTTTCTTCACTGGCAACAGGAGGATGGGAAAGGAAACAGAAAAAGAAAGAGTCACCACTAAGCTTTCTAAGGTCTTTCCTTTTGATACTGTGACTTGTTTCAGTTATTTTTTCATTACTTATTTTCACTAAAATAGAAGGTCTCCAGGAAAGCATTTGCTTTGGTTAAAACAAAATTAAATCTGACCTATCACTGAGGGGAAAAAAACAACTGGCTCTAAGGAAGACAAACTGTATAAGTATGCTTACGTACTAAAGAGGGCATGTGCGAGTCAAAAATGCACTGACAGACGAGCATAGGTCAGATTTGTAGGAAAAAAAAAAAAGGATTTTTAACAATCTTTCAGCCCTCTCTTTATTAGACCTTAATTAAATCAATGGGTCAAAGCAACAGAGGGAAAAAATGGTTCAGCTAGGGGACACTAATCAACCCTTTCGTGGACTGAAAGATATCATAAGTGAGAATTAAGCTTTTAACCAACATCTGCCTCATATAACACATAAACATAGACATTATTGCTTAAGAAAAAAGTATTTTTAGGACCTTATCTTGAAAATAAAAATCATTTATAAAAAAAGATATTGCTAATAATCACTATCAGTGAGCATGCTTGAATGAGAATAACCAGGGAAGTCCTTTGGGTTTTGGTTGAACAGCATCCTTACACACGTTGTTAATTTTAGAGAACCTAGAGCTGAACCAAGCACCAGCTTTTAAGTCGGTTGGTGCTGTTGGATTCAGATGATGATATGGCTGTGTTGACCATTAGACCTGTGAGTAGCAACTGAACTGTTTAGCAAGATTAACTGAAAGTCTGGACTTGCCTCTTTTTTGTCCCCCAAAATTTTGGCTGGAAAGCTGAACACTTGTGCAGATTGGGGTCATCGTGAATACATTTCTCCTATTCTTATCATAAATGCAGACTCAGAATCCAGGAAGGTCCTGTTATGGCTCTACAAAAAACAAGATAGATTTTACCTTCTTGATCTATACTGAGATAGGAGATAATCTTACATCCTAAAGATGAAGTAGTAGTTTTTAATTAATCAGCAATGAACAAAGTCTGATTCCCATTATTTATCTATTAAGTAACATATAATACCTCAAATTAGCTTAAAATTGCAAACCTGCTGGTTCATGCTGTTGGTCATGGCGGACTCTGTAATATAACTGAGGGAATTACTTTTTCTCTTACTGGAAAAGCATTTGGAGCCACATTCCACCTGCCATTTAGCCAAGGAGAGTGGTGATCTCTCCAAACACGATTGGCTCTGTGCAGTTTTCATGACAGGCTGCACCCAAGAAATACCACCAAGTTTACATATAATATCTTGCCTTATTATAATCATAATTATTCATCTCTACTGCTTAAACCACTGTTGCATGAGAAAGTAATACTTCCAAGGCACTGGGTGGAATACCTTTACTGGAAAACATGCTCTCAACAGGAAACTCAAGCACAGTGCTAGAGAGTTATCTTAAGCAGATTTAAATAATTAAATCCAAAATTCTCAAACCACTTGCTGTTTCAAATTTATTTCTTTAATAACAAGCTTGTTTCAGCAACACAGTGGATTAGGGCTTCATTTATTCAAAATTTAAGGTCTGTCCCACTCTGAGTGTTATTTTAAGTATTTAGGGGAATTTTTGTGCTTGTGAAAATGAAGAGATTGTTGCATTATAAATTCATTTCCTCTGTTATTGCACAGGCCATGCACAGTGCAGCTGTGAAAGCGCCGTAAGAGCCTCAGCAGTGTCCTCAAGCTCAGCCTAGTCCGCCGAGTCTTTGTTTTTGCTCAAAGAGGAGCTGGCCCTTTCCTACATCATCAGCTACAAGTACTTCCTAAACAGCAAAGTCGACACTGCATGGCCATACCAAACAAAGAGAAGGTGTTTAATGATGGCGATGACTGTCCACAGGGAAGGTGGGCCAGGAGCCAACAGCTGTTTTCTTGCAGGACTTGAAAGAGGGGTTGAGCCCAGTGCCCGCAGCCTCGCACTGAGCAGCTTCTGTAGCAGGTGTCACCTCCTAAGGAAGGGCTCAGTGGCAGTTGCCATCTACACCAGCAATTTTACAAACAAGCAAGTTTCTTATGTGTTCTTCATCACCTCCAGGCATTCATATTCTTTTTAAGTACAGGAACATTAATTAGATTTTGACCACAGACCCTGGATTTGACTTACCCTGACAGGGTTTCCATTAGTGTAATCTGCAGGGGAATTCGCTGTTTTAACATCTGTGTGCCTAAGGCCTATCTCACATTTACTGCCGCTGCCTGAAAAGCCTCCCTTGTACGGCTGTGTGTTTCTTCATGCTCCCAATTTCACAGAAGTCATTTCAGCACCAAACGGTAATTAGCAAAGGGATGGGCCTCGGCTGACATGAATGCAATTTATTGTTTTCCACAAGGCCCTGAACCGAGCAAACAAAGAACACAGTCTTGCTGTCTGGCATTTTATTAACTTGTATTGTGTGACATACCTTACTGAAGGGAGATCTCCCGGTAAATGTAGCAGCAAGTAACCAGTAACATCCGTGCTTTTGAAGAATATTAATTTTGGTTCAATTAGACAGGTTTTGCGGGACCTCAGCCTCTAAAATAGGACAGCCACTTTTATAATTATCTTCTGTAATAACTTTATCACCACCCGACTTTTTACATAAATGCAACCTTTCATCTTTAAAATGCCAACACTTCTTCAATTTTGGCAACCGTACAGCATTGCTAATTATTTGCTCATTATGTGTGGTTAACTGATGAATCATTAATAAATGAATGAATGGCTAATATATTTTTATGGTAATTGGAGATATAACTGATTGCAGACTTCCTTTGCTTTTCAAAACTGCCCTGAATGAGCAGTAGCTGCTTAATTGTTTACAGATGATATTTATGCCACTGACAAGCTCTTCCCATTGCCATGGTTTATCAGAGGTGAGCCCTGCCTGTGCCCCACGGTGGGGCAATGCTCTCCCTTCCCCATGGTTGCAGCAGACAGGCAGGCACACACATTTCAGACAGGTTTCCCATCAGCTCCCCACAATGGCTGGGAGCAGGACTACTGACACCACCACATTGACTGTCGGCATTTCCAAGGAATACCATACTGTGACATGGAAATGATACCTTTCTGCAGTGTTCCTCTGCAGTCTGGGCGTCTGCACTGAACACCAGAGATAGGGCAGGGAAATCAGGCTCTGCTGACATTTTGTTTTAACTCCATACCACACATTACAGTAAATGGCTTATACAACCTCTCTCCGCCAGTGCACAGTTAATGAATTCAGAGATAATTGCAGGGTGGATTTCTTTCTTTCTTTCCTTCTTTCTTTCCTTCTTTCTTTCCTTCTTTCTAATAATCTATCTTTCTATAAATCATTCTTAGGGTACACAGTTCCAAAACACAGCATTTAAATCTTCTTGACAATTTAAATCAAAAAGAAAAGATAGTAAGATGACCAAACAAGGCTCTTTTAGCTATGCACACACATTCTGAAGATCAAGTTAAAAATGCAAAGGAGATTACCAATTCTTAATTATAATTATTTAACCAGGTGGGTAGTTTCTCTAATGAACATTTCTATGAAAACAGAATAACTAATGACGGTCTTAAAGAAGTCTTTGTCTTCCCATGTACTAATGATCACATTTATAAATATGCAGGAAGGCCCCCCTGTACATTGCTAATGATAAGTAATTAAGCACCAGGCGTCAAAAGCTATAGAAAAGGGTCAGGGTAATGCAAGAGAAAATTAAAAATGCAATAAAATAAGTTGTGGAGCAAAATTGAATTTCTGGCTTCTGCAGACCTGGCTATAAAGAAATCTTTTCCCCCTTCTGTATAAACCACGGCTGCTGTGGGGTATCCAAACAAAATCTTCTAAGTACTTTCATTAGATTTTACTTGCCTCTGTGCTTGTACTCATATTAAAAACAAGTGAACCACCAGCCATTTAAAACAGACGCTATATTCAGTAAAGCTGCAGTTTCTCTCAACGTTTATGGGAAATCACTGTGGCTGAGGTTATGGCTATCACCAACCTCCTCAGAAGCATTTCAAAACTTCTGATGAAAGAAAACAGGGACGTGTTAAAAATGAAACCTGTTTTTGTGATTATTTTTTTAGTCCAGAGGTCAACACTCGAAGGGCCTGGAGTTGATCCCTGGAAGGGCTGCCACCAAAGAGACTCAGACCCAAGAAGCACAGAGGGCTGGCTCAAGCCCACACCTTTAGTTCAGCTGCTGAACCCGCACCACAGACCATTGCAAAGCATTAGAGGCAGTTTCCAAATGAAATTAAATGGATTGTCTTTGGTAGCAAAGACATGTTTGTTTCTCTAAATGAAAAGCCATTAAATTAGGTAATGCTGACACTCTTTCTTGGAGGCTCAGCACAGGGCTGCAGGAGCACAGAAGTCCCTGTGCTCCTGTTGGCTGCTGCAGTGCTCCTTGCTGGCTTTCCTCTGGCACCCGACATCCACGGACCCTCTCCATGGCTAACCCCCTGTGCCAAAACTCCATTTGCTGCTGCTGTAGTTCAGGGTTCAATAAGACGACAGTGCAGGTCTGAGGGAAATAATGCACTATTATTTTTTTTCACTGAAAGCAGGATTAAACTTGTTTGTAAAATTCATGGTGATGAAATTCATGGTGAGTAAAGAGTAGAGGGAGGGAGTGACAGAGTAAGTGGGACACAGATAAGCACTATCCCTCTACCGAGCACCTCACAAAATGGTGTTTTATTAGCTGCTGCAGCTTTTTGGAAATTTCAGGACTTCTTTTTGAAAATGATCTTAATATTTGACTTCCAAACTGACCTTTCATTGCCTCACACTGGGTATTTCCATCACTGCCTTTAGCCCAGCCACAACTCTGGCTCTCACACGAAGCATCCAGAGCACGTGAGCCCCAGCCGGGCCAGGCGACGTGCACTGACAAGCCAGCACGGTTTCCACTTTTATGGGCCGTGCAGCCAGCCTGCCTGTTTGAGCTGTTTCATTTTGTCTGCAGCCGAAAATCAAATAACCTGAAATAAAGCCGTGATGGTGAGCCACTGCCGTGCAAGCGAGTGCGCTTGGCCCTGAGAGCGGGGTGTGTGCTGCTGAGTCGCAGAGGGCGGTCAAGCCCCGCCTGGGGCTGAGGCCCAAATCCACCCTCCAGAGGTAACAGCTCCTGCAAAATAGCTGGGGGGACACCTCTGAAGGAGACAGTCTCCGTGAATTCACGACTGTTCCCTCGGATTTGTGAGCCCAGAGCCGTGCTCACTCTCTGGGTGCAGTGTGGCCCTACATGGCTCCCCGTGTCCCCGCGAGGGACAGCCCACACCACCACAGTGCTGCTGCCATGGCTGGGGTCTGAGGGAGAGGAGATGAGTGTCTGTGTTGCTGCTTGCAACTGCTAAAATACAAGAGGGATAGGAAAAGCAGGTATTGAGTTACAGTTATCTTCAATTAAAAAAACCTTTATCTTTGAAAATGCGTATCTGTTACTGACAAGCTCTGAAAACCACCGCTCCAAGCCTGTCAGTAAAACCAAATGTTAAATGGAAAATATTTGCCAGGATTTAAAATTAGACCTACACATTACTTACAGATGTTTCAATGAAAAACACTTGAAACTCAACCACATAGAGTAATAAACCTCACAATGGTGTATTTTTTTTATCCTCCAAGTTAATTTTTATTATATAAGTAGCCATACGAAGAAGCCATTGCATACTGCTTAAATTAAATGTGGAGGAATGAAATCAGCAGTATCCCTTTACAGCATATGGTCCAGCAAATCAAATTATAAAGCTTTCCACATCTCATTAACTGCAATGAGTACAGTGAGATTTCTAATAAGTCACTTCTTTTTCATGTGAGAGGTGAGCAGTGACTTATTGTAACTATTCTCACAGGATGACCCTTGTGCTGAAATTAAGAACTAATCTAAAATGGGAAAGGTCATTTGGTCAAGTCTGATCATAACATTTCCTCGTTATTGTTTTAGTTGGCATTGAAGCACATGCTTTCCCAGTGCACCAGCTGAAAAATGCCTTTGATAATTTCACTGACAGCGAGTAACCCACACACTGCCATTTAATGAGTTTGGGCTGGATTAGCTGACAATAAAGAATACAGTATAAATGCTTTTATAGAATGAATTTTTCAGCGGGAAAATTTCATACAGGCGTACTTAACTAATTTATTTGCATTTACCACTGAGATATCTGGCAAAAACTTCTAGTCCCCATTTAGACAGCAGGCTAACCAATCTCAGCCTCCCCTTGGAAGGAACCTGCTCCAGGCTCCCCACTCATGGCCCACCTGTAGCCGTGGCTTCGGTTGCAGGGGGCAGGGGCCAAGGAGAGAACCGCATTCAAACCCTCACTTCCTCCTCCGCACAGAAAATCAAATCATCATACAATTGCTCATCATGTGGCTTTGCTTTATGTGGATTCCTGATTTAGTGGCAGATCTGATTCAGGAACTGAAGCATTCCTGGCTCCCCGTCCCGGGCTCAAATCTCTAACCTGAATCCAATCTCTCTTCCGCCATCAGCCTGAAATTGTTTGCTAGAGGATATGTCGACCATAAAAATACAGCACAGTGCACAATGAGAGAAACATCTCAAGACAGTGGAAAAGAGAAAGCTCAGCCAGGCCAGCTGAAACACTTGGGAGGAAAATCAACAGGCTGTTTTTAGCAATTACAAAGTTGTTGGCTGATTTGATGTAGCTGGGCAGGAAATTCCATAGTTTTTGGAAACCATTGACAAAAATGTTCTGGCACTCCCATTCTCCATTTTGTACTTCAAGAAGAGTTAATGCACAGTGCCCAAGAAGTTCAGCATGCAAAGCAAAACGGGAGAAAGCTTTTCAAATAAATATGGAGATGCATCGTCTTCCACAGTACAAGAAAAACACTGTGACTTACTTGAAACGTCTTGACATACCACTCTAATGACTGGGCTGTAGTGGGAATGTGATCATTCCTGCCAGGACGTTTCACTTGGTTATTAACCTCACGGAAAATTCTGGAGGACTGTAAACCAATCCTCAAAGGATGGATTTCTTATTTGGTCTAAAAACACTACCTTACTTTTGCGCAGCCACTACTGAGAAGTCTGAAACCTAGCTACTGTTTAGATTAATTTAATTCCCCCTTAATGTTCATTAAATACTAAGTTGTTGTTTTAGGGCATCTCAAGATGAGTTGTTAGAGCTAATTTTTGGAAAGAGTAGTATGTGAGTGTAAAACCCAGTGTGAAGGGGATGTTTATGTCATTTCCTTAGAGCTATTTTAAGCATCTAGCATTGAGTCAGTTCAGAAGCCCTGAGGTCCTCAGGCCCATGAGTGGGGACCAGCAGGCACCTGCACCTACCTCAGGCCTCAGGAAGAGGAGGACAAGGGCTCCAAGCACCTCCATCAGATGGCAGTCAGCCTTGGGCTTGCCGTGAGCACAGGCGAAGCCTGGGATCAGTGGCAGTGAGGAGGAGGAGAGGGAGGATGGGCACCATGAGGCTGTCCAGTCCCACTGCCCCACAGCCACACTGTGGGGCACGAGCTCCACTGTCAGCCTGTGCTTCCCACATCCCCTCTGCAATAGTCACGCCTGCTCTCACCCTGCTTTCCAAAACTTTTGGTGCGTTAGGTGGTGGTTCTTTCAATTGCATATGAAAATTCAGGGAGTTAAAAACACAAGTTGGAATGGTGACACTCAGACTGCAGAATGCTTAAAATAACAATTTTTTTTGGCAAACATGGACAACTCTCACATCTCACTAGAATTAACTTTTGACCTCTGGACCTCAGAGAGTCAGAGTTTCAAAAAATGCAGCTTTGCACAATGTGCACTGAATTACTGCAGTTCTCATGTGCATACAATTGGGTAATTATGTATGCAAAAGTTTAAATTAAGGCCAGAACAGACAATATACTTTAAAACAATCTGAGTTTTTTTGCTGCAGTGAGTTAAGCTAAATGCAACAAAGGATTTACCAAATAAAAGCTCTGCCTCTTCCTTTGTGCAATGACTACATTGTCCAAAGTACAGTCCTTCGGCACCCCAGTTATACACCACTGCCTTTAGCATCTGCTGAAGATCCACTGCAGAAGGAGGACAGTGCATGATGGCACAGTTGCAGGGCCTTCAGCGAAAAAGGATCTCATTTAAGAAACCATTTGCAACTCTACACTGAATTCACCTGATGCTCTTGACCGTGCTTAGTTACTACATTTATCTAACCACATATTGACATATGGGAAAAAACTGGGAAAAGACAAAGTGATGATACACTTCAGCACAGCACCCAGCAGCTGTTCCAGAGGGACTAATTTCCAAAACATGGGGTGAGCCCTTAGTAAACTTGTAATTCCTACTTTGAGAGCCGGTCTGCATGAAGGTTCAGGGTATATGGCGCAGACATGAGGTCACCCTGCCAGGCTCATTAGAGCCACAATTAAGCAAAGCTATCACATTCCAAACACCAAATGTGGGCAATTGCTATCAGCATTTCCATGCATGTTTTACTTTAAATAGTTGCTAGTTGCTCATCCTTCCCATAGCTGAAAATTACCTACATACCTAAATGCATACACTTGTTATGTGCCTGCATATATTTATTTTAAAATATTTTATGCATATAGAACACAGAGACACAAAAGTTCTCCAATGCTTGCTCCTGGAGGGGTAATAACACAGAAATATTTAAGATGATTCAACAGTGGACGGCTCAGCAGATGTCTCCAGCATGGTGCAAGACATTAACGTCTGCTGACTCATCATCCGAGTTAATTCGTGCCTGGCTCATGTTCCCGTCATCTCAGCAGCAATTTAGTACTTGGTGAATTTTCTCTCATCAGGAGTAAATGTTATCACAGACTTGTGATTATGTGCTATTTGAAACTGGTAGAGCTAAAGCCATGTGTGATAATAAAAGGTAATTGTTTACCTTTGAAGTTGATATCTGTGGCCTTCGCTGCACTCCGCAGGAAATTGGGCCAGTCCATGACTGCTTGGGCAGGAAGGCTGTGTCTGACACCCCTCTCCAGGGCGTGAAAACAAGGAGGGTGCACGTGCAAAAGTTGAAACAAGCTAGTGGCACTTTTATAGACTTATTTTCCCCTACTGAGCAAAGCTGAACACAATAAAGAATTCAGTAAAGGAGAGGTTCCTCTTCTATTTAATGTAATGACGTTGCTGGCTGAAGTGGAGTAAGCGAATTTTTTGCCAGTGGAAGAATGAGCAATGCAACACCATCTGCATACCCACAAGCACACCTAGGCACAGATATAAGTGTCACAGACACAAGGGAAGGCAGGGGACTGTGTCAGCATGGGGGTGCCCAGTGGCTTGAGCTCAGCCCTCAGCCTGCAGCACTGCCCTCCTCGCAGGGCCCAGCCACACTTGATCTGCGAGCAACACCTGAACACCCAAGGCTGTGGTTTCCTATGTGTACAGCCACCATGTCTTGGGACACAGCACAGCCATCATCACCTCCTTGTCTGGGGCTGGAGGCACGTCAGCCAAGGGATATCTCACAGGAGACAGTATTTTGGGTGCTTCAAGGCGAATTTTTCCTTCAGTAGGCAGAAGCTGTGGTGCAATTTCATGTCATCCTTAGGAAGAAGCACCATTAGTGCCCAAACTTGGCTCTCCAGTGACTGGCCTGACTGCAGGCAGACACAAACTGCATCTACCATGAATTCCCTGATCTAAGGAACAGAGAAAAGTGTAAATCAGAAATACCAGTTGAAGGGATTTAGTGTTTGTAACATACGCTATTAACATGCTGTTAGCTTTCACAACTCATTTTCAGGAGATTATAACTATTCCTAGCCGAAATGGCCAGGGAGATGAAGAGGTCTCAATATCTTTGCCTGCTTTTCCTTATTTCGTCTTATCCTCCCAAACAATCCACATTGGAATTCATAAACAAAGACATATGTACATTTGGAGCATGTTCAGATCAATTATCCCACATAATTTTTTTTGGAACTGGGAAGAAGGTATATTGCCTAAACGCTAATGCCTATGGATCTTTAATATTAATGTGATGCTCAAGAGATAATTACTTCTCATGAACCGGAATAAGTCTGGCCAAAAAGGTTGAACACATCCAAAATTCAGCTGATTTCAGTGCAGCTAATTCTAGTTGAGTTTTTTTTCTCCCCTGCTGGACACGCTGCCAGATGTAATAGAAATAAACCCCACTGAAACTGGCTGAGGATACGTATCATATTCTGATTGGTAACAGATTTGCAGATTATTGGACAGGGGAGGAGAATTTACTAAAAAACAAAAGTCAATTAAAATACCATCATGGTTCAAGCATAACGCCTCCATGAAGTAAGAGTCTTTCTCAAGAGGAATCCTCGGATGGAAACATACCTTCTGCCCTGGCACAGGATCCCAGAAGGAAGCAAGAGGAAACCATTTACTGTAACCCTGCCTGTGGCTGAACACAAGAAAACTCTGGCGCCTCCTTTTTCCAGGACTTCTGGAAAAAGAAGAAAAGATCAGGTTTGGATTGAACTAAAACCTAGGAGCGTCAGACCTGTGGTGGTATGCTTAGTGGGTAACCTATAGGGAAGAGCAAGGTTCAAAGCCAGAGTGGATAAAAGCTGCCTCCATCACTTTACAGAGGGAAAAGCACCTTGGTCTCTTGTGTCAAGGCTTGGGAAGGGGACAGCCCTCATGTACCTGTCCTGCAAAGCAACACTGAGCCCAGCTGCCACAAGCATAGCCAGTTAATTCTGAAGCCTAGTGAACTGCTCCTCGCCATGGGACTGCCTTCCAGAAAGCTGCCCAAAACAGGGCTGGTGAGGGTGGAAAGCAGTTTCTGGGCAGTCCAGCTCTGCTCTGGCTCCTCCGTCCTGCTGCAGATGAGTCATATAGAGAGCCGGAAAGGAAATAAATGCAAACACATGGCAGTCAAAATGGCTTTCACAGAAAAGAAAACATTGGGCTGGAGCTGCTGTGCATGTGCAGCACGGAGCTGGTCCTTGTGGGATGGGCACCTCTCAGCGTGCAGCTTTGGGAAGCCGTTTGCCATGGCACAGGCAGCTACCAACGTTTCCTGACTTGCTAAAGCTGTTTGCCAAGGTCAGGCTAAATATATAATTTCTTCATAGCTGGGTTTTAAATGCTTAATTTCCATGGTTCTGTTTGACATAAAAAAAGCTAGAAGAGGGGAAAAAGGGGTGGTAGAGCAAAGGAAAAAACCAGCAATCCTGGATACAGCAGGTAACCAATCCCCACGATGGTAGCTAGTGCCCCACCATCTCACTACTTCTAGTATTAAATGCAAATATACACTTAAACATACAGGTTACACATTTAAATCTGGAAATATCATATATTTATCCCATGCCACTTTTATTTCACTTCCTCATAAAAGGACTGTTTAATGGTTTTTAATTGCACTATCATGTTCTCACCTTTCCATAGCACGTCCCTGCAAAGGAAGGCAGTAGGTGGCAGCTAAACTGTGGTGTAGCAGATCCCTGCCACAGGACCCCTTTCCTTTGCTTTGGAAGAAGGCTTTCAGCTGGGCCTGGTCTTGCTTTTCCTCAAGAAGTACACCTGTTGCTGTTCTTGCTGAGCTTTCTGCTCTGACAGGATCATAAAAGCACCTATGGAACATCCCCATTAATTTTTATTTTGGTGGTCTGACAACATGTTTCCAATAAATCAAGGGGAAAAGACAACTACATTTTCAAGAAAATTTCTCAAAATTTGATGAGATAATGGAAAAAAAAAAGTACTCTCCTGGCAAACTTCCTCTACTCCTCCACCCAGAATGATGTGACTTTTTAGAAACCATGTGCCAGTACTTCAGCTTCCTAAAAAGTTTATCTCTAAGCAAGATCAACATAATGATTTTTACCAGACACCCCTACCAACACATCTGAACCTTGCCACATGTTCTTGGGCATTGTTCCTTTTACCATCTAGGAAGACCTTTTTACAAACAAAGAAGATGCCCTGTTTTAATAACACAATGTGTCTCCAAAGTCAAAGAAAACATTCATGATTAAAGATGCTCACATAGCAGGGCCATGACTTTTTAAATGCCTAAGTGACAAAATAATTCAACCCACTAATATTAATACTTCAAAATTGAGAGGAATTCAGTACTTATTGTCAGAAATACTTTTCATATGTATATCATGGATATCAGCTTATTTTATTATCTTATTTTATGATGAATACACACATACATGTCAGGTGTAAAGGCATGAAGAGAACAGCCAGCCACAGTATGTTTTGTTAGCATGAGGCAAGATGCTCCGCTCAGCTTTTGCATAACTATCTAGCCATGAGTTTAAGTATTCAATTCTACTTGTATGACTTCTTAAAATTCCCTGCAATATAATTATACTGATGGGAATGCAGAAAGATAATTGCTTTTAGAGAAAAGTTTCTCTTTTGTTTCACATTCATCTGGCTTCCATAAATAGAACAGGAGACCTTGAACAGCAGCAATGTGCATCCATGTGTCTCTAGCTATTTATTTACAAAGCTAGACCTTGACAAATGTAATTTGTTCAATAAAATTAAAAAGTATGCACAATGTTCATTTAGACAAAGAGGCTCGAAAAGGAACATCACTGGGAGTGTGTGTCATCACTGGAAGTGATCAGCTGATTCCTGAAGAATTGGCAGGTGCTCTTTTTGGAAACCAGCAGTGAGGTAGTCCTTAGGAGAGGGAAAAAGTGAGCTAGGAATCAGAGCAGTTCTTTATTCAGACAATAATTATACAAATTAGATCCATGAAAGCCAGAGAATGACTGTGCCTTGAACCCTGTCTGTGTGCATAGAACAATGGAGAAATTAATAATTAAATCTATTACATATGCTCATAACTCAGCACAAAAGATACTTCACTAGCTCAAACAATTCTGCATTTTCATTTGAATAAAGCTTTCACACATTTTTTCTCATTATATATGTATTATATTTTAAATTTAACAGCTTATTTTGTTGCCTTTATGTCTTGAATTAATAAGGCCACACTTTAATGCATTAATGTTGAATAGCATTAGAATGCTTTACAGTCATTACTTGGGGGGGAAAAAATCCCTAGTTTCCCAGTGGTGAAATCAATTTGCCCATAACTTCCTGTCTCTCATAACCTCTGCTAGCATAGCTTGAAACTTTGTGCTGCTTTTCGTACCAAAAGACTTGTTTATATGTTCTGGCTGCGGCTGGGGCAGGATCTGAAGGTAACACTATTCTGTTAAGTTTGCACAAACAGTTCAGGAACAGACTGAAATCTTTTCAGCCAGTTAAAGCAATTAGCAGCCAGATACACCAACTTAATGCTATTTCCTTTGTAAGAAATAATTTAGCCTCAGAAACACAGATGGCTCAGTGAGTTCTGACCCAGAATTATTTTCCTTTGGCCGGGTGGGGGACGCAGACACCCGGGGGGCTGGTGGGGGCGCAGAGGAGGGCGGGGGCTGGAGCACCAGCCGACTTCGCCCCTTCCCAGCTGGGAAGACCGGCTGCAGCATCTGAATGCCGAGGGTGGAGGGAAGAGGAGATGGGGGAGAGAAACCACTGAGAGACTTCAGATGTAAAAATTACTGAGAGTTCCTCCAAAGTCCTCTTCCTAGATGGAGGCCAACTCTGGGCCCTCACTGCCTGCAGCCCACGCAGGCCCTCCGACGGCTGCCAAGTCAAATAACGCTAATTGCATTACAGATTGCAAGCAGAATTCGCTGTTCTTTTCAACTAAACCCAAGACTTTCTATTTTGTTTGGGGAATTTAAGAGGCGTGCATATTCCTACCGCCAGCCGAGATATGGGGTTAGGAAAGGGGTGGCAATCGCTCACTAAGAGACCAGAAGCAGATCTGTAAACGTGAGAAACCAGAGAGGATAACTGAAGGAGCAGGCCAGAGACTGACAGCTGTGGATACAGCCGCCTGGGAGGGGCTGGCTGCCCCTCATACATGCTGGGCAGTGCAGCCCCATGGAGATGGCTCAACCCTGGTCCAGCATCGGGACTGGAGATGCTGCTGTGGCTCACCACAGGTGCCTGCAAACCTTCTGCTCCCCAGCATGGGGCACCCACACCCATGCTCCCTGTCCCACTATGGGAGGCACCAAGGGGGGGCTCATCCTGTGGCAGACACTGAGCCACAACACCTCCCAGCACACAGGGGAGTGATTTTGAGCATCACACACAACATTTCCCCCCATTCCCCCATACCTTTTGGAGTAAATCTAAAAATGTTTAAAACTTCTGTAGGAAAACCAGATGCCAACTTTACATCATCCTATTATTTCCCCCTATAATACAAAAACACACATATGTGTCCTGTCTCTTTTTGCTTAGTTGCACATGTCACATTCAAAATCTCTAACACTACCCAGTCTTGAAGTATTTTGCAATTATTAGGATGGCTCCCGTTGTCTGGCAGCCCCAAGGAGAAATGAACTCCAATTTTTGGAGCGAATAGAAATTCTGACAAACCCTCCCATCAGTCATTTAATATGGGAAGACTCTAGTCCTCTTGAAAACCTCTGCAGGATTGCTCACCCCACTCCATCAGCTGCAATGCAATACACATTTCGCACTGCAGCATCCCTTTCAGTGGCATTTCAGCTGAACAGAGATGTTAGACTGTCACGCTTACTTAAGCAGAAGGGTTATCACTGTTCCTTCATACAACACTATATAGCTCAAAGGTGCAATAAGAAGCCCAGAAATATGCCAAAAAGGTTTGCGAAAATAAACAACGTCAATTTTCTCCTTTAAGTATCATCATGACAAATTCACCAGGAGGCTGGAGAGATAAAATGCAGCACTTTAAATACCTAAACTAATCAATAGAGAGAGTCGAGCATGCAATCCATTTTCTGAGAAGGACAACCTTTTAAGGTTAATTTTTCATTCATATAAATACAATGCCAGGGTCATTATTTAACTTAAAGCAGCCCCTTCATTAAACTATAATAATTAGGCTCAATTTAGCACTAAAATTAGCCACCAAAAAAGCCACCTTACTGCAAATGAGGGCCAAGCCTGGGAAGGCAAAATGAGGGCCGTCCTGGGGGCGGCAGGAGCTGCCGCCGGTGCCCGCCGGGGCTGAGGGGCGGGAGCGGGGCTGAGGGGCGGCCTGGCCGCTCCTCGTGCGCCATCTCGTGGCGGCTCGGCCGCTCCGCAGGCGGTGCCGCCCCGGCCCCCGGGCCCTCACGGCCCCGCCCGCCCCGCCGCGATCTGCGCTCTGTGCAGGGCTAAAGCCGCAGAAGGAAAAGAAACGACCAACACTGGGGCTGTTCGTTTCCTTAACGCTTCGGTCTGCCCTCAGGAGCGAAGTGTAGAGGGAAGGGTAGAAGGTAGCAGGGCAGGGCACGAGCGCGGGGCAGGAGCAGGGAGGGTGTCCCTGCCGGGTCCCCCAGCCCCGCGGCTGCCTCCCACCAGTGGTCCGTACAATAGCAGAATCATCAAAGTTGGAAAAGACCTCTAAGATCATCCAACCAGTAGCCTAACACTGCCAGAGCCACCACTCAACCATATCCTCAAGTGCCACATCAACACGTGCCACGTAATGTTTCCAGGGATGGCGATTCCATCACTTCAGAGCCTGACCAAGGCTGAACTCTCCAGCTAATGGTTTATCTGTCCCCAGATCCAGCTCGGAACACCATCTGATTGAAGACCAGGCCCTTTGGTGACAGAGTGATAAAAAGCACAAATGACCTTTCTGATTACCAGCCATGTCACTGCAACTGTACAACTGCCACCTCCTAACAAGGGCAAGGGGACAGTGAGCAGCCCCCACGCAGCCCCAGTGATGGCAGCACCTGGTGTCCACAGCCTCCGCTCCCCATGCCCGCCGAGATCCCACACCAGCTTGGCATGGGCAGAGGTCCTGCCACTGCCCTGGCCTTGGGCAGCCAGCTCTAATTCCCTGTTTGCAGAGTGGGGTTTGAGCAGGTAAGGCCAGGGCCTTGTCTCACTCAAGACACCGTACTACAGGGCCCTCTGGCAGCAGAGGACTTCAGTCATTTGTTGGCCAGATCATTTCATATGTTAGTGCCAAGAAAAAAACTTTCGGTCTGACTTTGGGGAAGCCACTGGATCTTGCCATGCCTCAGTTTTCTCCTTTATAAACCAGACCTGAGTACTTTTTTTAACTGTAAAATAGCACTGTAAAAATTCAGTGCTGTTTCCATTCTCTAATCTCTGAATATCCCTCCTTTTGTAACGCATTATCTAATTTCTGTCCCCTAACGGACTCAACTGCTACTCCATCACCCTTCTGTGGTGGTGCATGACACCTTCAAATATTGCTTAGAGAAGAAAACAAAGTGTCTGTGACTAAAGAAAGAAGCTTTTTGCAAACCTTTCCCTCAAACATTGTCCGCTCTAAGTGACACTGAGGAGCACCACCTTCACCCTCTGCTGAGGTAGAGCACCCAAATCGGTACAGATACAACCATCCCCCCAGTCCTGGAACAGACATTGCTCTGGCAGCCACTGGCCCGCCACACTGTCAGTGTTCATGCACAGTCAACTTCACAAGAAGGAAAAGGATTAGCAGCACTTCTGGTCAAAGCAAAGGAGATAGCACGAGTTCAAAATTACTTTCCCGCGGCCACACAGGAAATCTGCAGGGAGATGGAGGGTATGACCGGAGACTTGTGACCATGGCTCATGCTGGGCACAGCAAGGGGCCACCACATCAGCAGTGGTGGAAGGGCGCACGCACACACTTCTGAGCTATGGAGTGAGCTTAATGCCTTTCCTTGGCATAACCCATCAGCAACATGGTTGGCACTGGCCTAAAACGTGAATTAAAAGTGAACTCTCTCTCAGCGCTTGCATTGGATTTCTTTGCTTTGGGCTTTGTTTCTCATAAGCAGAGCATTAATTAAGTCTAGAAAATAAATTCTTATGTCTATTTATTTAAAAAACCTCCACCTTTTGAGGGTCTTTTGCCTTCCATAAGAGTCATCTGCAACATGCAGCCACAGAGGGTCTGTTACCTGTGTGTGCTGAGAGTTGGTGGCAGCCAGGAGCAGTTCCAGGCAGGAACTGACTTCACTGGTTTCCTGAAGGTAAGTGTATTGGCACAGATCCCTGCCTGAGAAGATGGAGAAGTCAGGGCAAACACAGTAGACACATGACACCTACAACAAGGAGGCCAAAGGAGGTAGCAGAGCTGTGGGACTCTGCTGGGTTGGCAGGGATGGGATTGCTCGGAAGCGGGTGCAATGGCAGCGTGCTCCTGGTGAGCACCACAGATGTCACATGCCCTGGACATAAAGATTCTTCTATCCCCATAAAAAGGGAAAAACTTATTTTGAAGGAGAGGGGGAGGGGGGCAAAGAGATGTAGAAACAAACAGGTTCAAATAAAGTTTTATGAGGAGAGCTGGAGTGCACTCAGCCTGTAAAACAGCCCATGGTACTGTCAGGTCACCACTGGGCAAAGGTACCTCACGATGGTGTATAATCAGGTTTTATGAGAGGGATATCACTGTCAACAAGTGATTGAATAGCTTTTTGCATGATGGACCTTGCCAGGCATCAGCAAAGGGAAAGACAGAGATGGCCATTTACCTTGACATGCTTCTTCCACACAAGCCAAACTAATTGCACACGTCAAAAGGAAAAGGCAATGCATGGCTTTCATCCGTTCCTGATAACGATCAGATAGGGCTCTTCCTGTCTTCTCCAGCAGCCTTTCCTCCAGCATAGCATGCAGAGGAGGAAGAAAATACAGCTTTGAAGGTCAGGTAATGGCCTAATTAAAGCAGAATTCCAACTCGAATGCTGTGGCCCTGCCCTTTTAAAGCACAGCACTGGGTCAGGCTGTCAGTTGTGGTTTAGTGCACTGGTGCTGTTAGCACACCCCTAGCAATATGCTCTTTGGCTTAACGTGGGTCATTTGACAAGGGGGTTTCTAAATAATTGCAGCAAGTGCAAAGAGATGTGTTAATTTTAAAGCAGTTATTGCCCTGTGAAGGTTGCCTGCCCCCAGCGCTGCTGGAGACAGGGACGGTGTTCAGAGGTCGTGAGAGGAGGTCTCCCCTACAAAACCCAAAGCACAGAGTGGGTGGTCAGGGATGGGGAGAACAGTACAATGGCCTTTGCAGCAATGTTCAGTCAAAGTTTAAATCTGTTACTTACCCAGAGTCCCAAAAAAGCATGCAGTGGTCTTGTGGGTATGGAAAGCCCTGGGAGCATCCCTCTCTGAAGCAGATGTGATGTTACAGCCCTCAGCCTGCACAGGCATGTATTTATGGCCCAATAGTATTTGTTTGGAGAGTAGGGGAAGGGAATACTCCTTCAGACATCATTACTGCATGGCAAGGGCACAGGTTCTCTTAGTTTTTAGTTATACACAGGCCTGAATGTATTGCAAAAAAATGAAGTTTTTTGGCATAATCTCAGTCCAATATCCTCATGCTTTCATTTTGGATGACTAGTCCTTGTTAGGGCAGAGGAAGATGCTTGCTTTATTTTTCAAAATGAAGTAAAATAACCTTTTTATACTCTGTTAAATATAATAGAGTTTGGGCAAGAGGGATGTTGGTTTGGGAACACAAGTGCACAAGTTCTAACATAATGCTTTCTGTGTCTCCTCAGTTCTTCCTACCAGCTGCATACGTCACCACAAGGCTATCTGAAGCATTCACTAGACAGGACTCTCAAACACCACTATTCCCAATAGTTACAGATGTCCAAAAGGATCAGATCACTTTCTCTGATCTTTTTCTCCTTGTTTTTTAAAGTGTTTCATATAGTGGACAAACAAAGAAGGTAATTGTGGCATTTCTCTTCTCCAGTCACACAAAACCTCAGAAGCAAGACTCAGACTTTGGGGGAGAAAAGCAGGTACAATTGCTGCACTGTAATCCCCTAACACTGCCAGCACGGACAGCTGTTCCTGTTCCAACTCTTTTCCAAATGAGTCAAATGAGTTAGTTCTAACTTTTAAAAGTTGTTGTATGTTGCTTTATTTTCCACTTCAGGGGCTAGGATTCATTCTAGAGTCCCAGATAACATCATCTTGTTCCTTGATATGGGCAAAACCAGAAAGTTTGAGGGACTCATAACTCATGACCAGTGCTGCAAATACAGAGCTCCCCTCATACTAACACCTGTTCTTTGATCCCTTACAGTGCCTGAAACATGTACAAAAATTAAATTCTGTATTAAGTCATAAATTATTATTTTATTATACTAAAATGGTAGAATGTAGTACACATTAGTGGGGAACATTAGTCATGCCAAGGTAGAAAGTCACATGGGAAGCATATTAGCAAAGAGACATAGGAGGAGCCTGTGCAGGGCTCAGGAGGTCTCAGCTGAATTCCTGGCTCCTCCACAATATTCTTGCATAGCTGTAGGCAATTCACCTATACCAATACCCCTGCTATATTTGTAGGCACCATAGTCTTGGCTTAGGAATGTAATGAAAAGCCCAATCTTGCTGTTATCTCAGCATGGATCAGTATCAAAACATCTCAGCAGGCAGACCCCACCAGGTCAAGGCCTTGTTTCTCAAAACCGTTCCTGTTTGCAATAGCTGACAGCTGGCAGCAGCATTCTCGCTGGCAGAAATGGGAATCCAGTGAGCCACTCCCTCCTGGGCACAGGGTAACCCTGCCAAAGCACCAGCCAGCCCACACTGTAGCTGGGCGAGGCGTGGGCCCGCACACAGGCAGCAGAAGGGATCAGAAGATGCAGTTTCTCAGGACAGATAAATCCCACCAGTGTCTCAGAGCCTTACTTTTGACACAGGACAACAGTACCAGATTTTCTAACAAAAACATCATAAAGGATAAGGGAACTTTATTCAATACTATCCAGTAACAGGAATTATGGCAGCCACATGCCAATACTGCTTACCAACACAGGCTTCCTTTTGATCTGCAGCACTATTGGTTTACGTGCCAATAAAAATATTTATGTGTAATAATACTAACATAGCTCTTTCTCTAATTGATCTACAAAGAACAAGCTTTTATACTCCTCCCAAAGAGGAAAAGAAAGCTCTTACCTGACGGAGAGACTTTTCTCTACTGGATAGATGATGACGACAACAGGTGCCCAGAGATGAGTAGAAAGGTGAGATGAGCAAGATGCAGCAATTCTCCTCTGGCATTTACGTTTGTCTACTTGCTTTGCACGTGCAGGGTGAAACACCTGTCTCTGATGAATAACT